TCACTTCCAAATTCAAATGCCGATGCAGAGAGAATGTTTTCCACTTTAACTAACTTAAAAACGAAAAATCGCAACAAACTTTCGTCAGTTACCGTTAATGCCATTTGCGTTTTTAAGTCAGCATTGAAAGCAAAAGGAGAAACATCTTTAAGCATGACGATTGAAGACAAACATTTGTCTCTTATGTCGGCGGACAAATTATACGCTAGTGCTGTTAAAAAAGACCACAGTACTTTAAGGTTGCATGCTGCGGATGATTAAATCCCAGGTAGCAAACACAAGTCATTTTGACGTCAAATTTTGGTCTTTTACTGACTATTCCTGACGTCACTAACTGACGGCATAATGACGTTAAAATGACGGTCTAATGTCACAGACAATTGACATCATTTTCTGACGTCTTATTAACTAAATTAATAGCAATTTTTAAATTTTTCATTCCTTTGGCTAGAATTGGCACACAATCGTGACGATTCGACCATTGGTTTTGCTCCTCGTCGTTAAGACGTTAATAATCTTTGATACTTATATATAAGCATCTCATATTTAAAATAATTTAAAATTGCGAAAAATATTACCTTATCCAGGGTTCAAACTTGGAACCTCGATGATTTCATCTCGATGAACCATCTCGATCGTTTGTAGAATATAAATGCATGTGTAGTGTACACACACACACACACACACACATACACCCAGGGAAATGTAAAAAATTATTTTTACATTTCCCTTCTGACGGAAGAGACCACCACCTTCTCGCGGTTGAGCAACAATATGTACGGTACGTTATACATTTAATGAAAAATAAATTCAAAAACAGAAAAAATAACAGTATAAACTATAATTTTTTTTAGTACTTAATAATATTATTGCGCTGAAATTAATTCTTTAAATACAGATTGTTGAATAAACAGATTCTTTTTTAATAAAAAAAACGTACATATTGGCCAAGAGTGGATTTTTATATTTTAATTCAAATTTTTATATTAAAAGGTAAAACAATGTATATAATAATTTTTTAGATTTATTAATAGAAAAATACATCGATAATTAATGTCGCGCGCCGATATAATGTCACGCGTCGTCTGGTCGCCTCGTCAACTCGGCATTCACGAGATCCGAAATCGCATAGCCAATAGCCGAAAGAGAAGAAGAAGACAGCAGATCTGTCCATCCTCTTCTACCGCTGACGCTCGAAGCTGGCCGAAGCCAGCCGAAGCGTTCAGGCCGCTCGGCTGCGTTGCTGAAACGTAAAGTTGGCATCTCTGCCCATCCCCACCACTGGCTGGCTGTGGCTGGCAAAAACCGCGAGTCTGGCATCCTTGAGGTGTCCCCGAACTCCAGCCTTCCAAACCGACGATCACGATCCCGCGGGGTCGAGCACGCTCGGCCTCGTAGCGAGCCTTCTTGCTGTCGTGGCCCCGGTGCTTCGCTTCCTGCCGTATCTACCTACCGCGTCTCTGTAGGCATCGGACGTAAGACCGCGTTTCGCAACTCCGTCACACCGCGACACTTGCATTCGCGATACCGTCTCTCGTTTCTACCGCCTTTCTATGCGCACTGTATGTAAATCGCACTTCAAACTACAAGTCACAGCGCGCCGAGTGCATTCGCACTAATTTTTCTGTACATCTCGCGTTTCGTCAGTTTTGTTTTATTATATCGAATAAAGTTTATATGTATTATAAGTCAATTACTGTCTTTTGGGCCTTCCACTCAACTTCCTAACAAGCGATCGAGTCCGCGATTAACTGAAACCCCGGTCGTCTCATAGTTAAAGGGCTGAACGAAGCCATTCGTAATTATCTCGCGTTCTCGCGGAACGGATTTGGCGATTCGTTCGGCGCGTCTATTGCGCGCCCGAACAATTGTCTATTCAATAGGGAATACCACTTCCAATTTTGTTTCAGTATTGTTGATATTATCATTTGGCATTGCCATTGTATTACTGTTTATTACCGCAAGTTTCAACTTGTTAGTTTTTTCTTCACATCGTACAATATATTCCTTTTTGAAGAGTTAACAGCTGCTACTACCATCCTGAACTGCGATGTTAAAATAGTAATACCATCGTATTATTGCTTATTATCGCAATTTTCATAATATTTTCTAATTTAATAAGCTTAATAAAATATGGAATTACATGGAAAAAATATTCATTTAAAACAACTCCGCACAATATTTTATCCGAAAGTAGTTTTAGTCAAATTGGTTAAAAATTGTGTACATTATAGTTTACAATCTCTTAATTAAAAGTTCCAATGGGTACTTTGCATGGACAGATTTTGTATCTATAGACATTTGAAAAGCATTATCAGATTTTGCATACATTGGAAATGTATCGATTAGTTTGACATTACAACATATAGAAATATACGTATATGTTAGTGTATGCGTGCGTGTGTGTGGCTGCGTGCGAGCATGCGTTTGTGTGTGTGCGTGTGCGCGCGCGCGCGTGTGTGTGCGTGCTCGCGTGTGTATGTGAGTGTGTAATGTGTATGCACACGCGAATGTGTGTGCGTGTTAGAGAGAGAAAAAGAGAATGAATGAATTGATCTTTATTAGCCTTCTCGGCTATTTTTTACAACACATAATCTTACAATAATTCCTCTACATGAGGTATAATATATACTTTTAACTTCCGCTTAAATTGTTCGATCCTCTCGCATTGCCTTATATCAAATGGTAGGGCGTTATACATATTTAGACCTTCATAGAATAGACTCTTTTGTCCGCCCCTCGTTCTACGAAACCGCACCACAATATTCTCAGCCTGTCTTGTTTGTCTGTTACTCACATCACCTACTATTTCTATTTTGTTACCTAATTGTCTAGGCATTATTCCTCTTATTATTTTAAAAATAAAAATACATACATTATATAATAATCTCTGTTTTATATTCATAAACAGGAGTGCTTGCAGCATCAGGTCTACCTTGGTACGTCGATCACATTAAAGTATAACCCTCATAGCTCGATTTTGCGCAACTTGTAGCCTATTCAGTAATGTGTCACCCATACCAATTAATAACGTTGCACAATACTCAAAGTGAGGTGCTATGATAGACTTATACACAGTACATCGAGTGTACGCCGATATATCATTTCCTATTCTGTTCAGAAAACTCACTTTTTTCCCTATTTTCTTTAACATATAATCACAGTGATTCTCCCAACGGAGTTTACTATCGATCATTACACCCAGATGTTTCGTTATCTCGACACGCTCAATTATAGTTCCATTCAAACTTTTTACTATTATGTCTGTTTTTATTTTTTTCCTTATACTTCTAACTATCATATATTTGGTCTTATCTGCATTCATTTTTAACATATTCATATTCATCCATTCTTCAAGTATACCGAGCACCATATTTAGTTTTATTTCTATTTCCTCACAACTTTCTCCTGTTACACTTGCGGTCGTGTCATCTGCAAATAATCTAAATATACTTCCCTCCGGACAGACTTTAACTATATCATTTATATACAAAATAAACAATAGAGGTCCTAATACTGATCCCTGTGGCACGCCATATACTGTCTCAATTATTTTAGAACACATATCATTGAATCTAACTTGCTGCTTTCTATTACTTAAATACGATCTTATCCATTCCAGTACCACTTCTCTTATTCCATACTGATATAATTTTTCCACTAATCTTACCCTATCTATTGTCTCAAACGCTCTCCTGAGATCCAGGAATAACACCCCCACCATTTTTTTCTCCTCAATTATCAACTTCCATTCTTCGATAAAACTTTGAATTGCTGTCTCACACGACTGCTGTTTCCTAAATCCCGATTGGTATTCGGTTATTATTTCATTGTCATCTAGAAATTTTTCCAACTGTTTTTTTACAACTAACTCTAATACTTTTTCATATATCGGTAACATATTAATCGGTTTATACTCGCTCGCTTTTTTTGGTTTGTTTACCTTTGGTATCGGTATTATCGTGGATGTTTTCCATCCTTCTGGAAATTTACCTGTCCTAAGCGAATCATTTATTACTCCTACAAACTCATCTTTTATCACAGGTAGCACCATTTTTAGTATATCACTATTTATCCCTTCCTCTGTTCCGTTCTTTCGTGGTAGTTCCCTAACAATTTGTTCCAAATCACTTGCACTAATTGGCTCAAAATTTTCCATAATTCCCTTATTCTCAATTACATAAATAGGTCTCTTACCCGTGCCTTCTATCCCCTTATTACTAATAGATTGCACAATGTTGCTAATACTTTTTACATAATATATATTAAATTTATCAGCTATATTGCATTCTTCTATGTCTTCTAATATTTCAAAATCTACATTATCGATGTTCTCTGAACCCCTTTGCTCACCTTTAATTAATTCTTTTAAAGTTTTCCACATTTTTGTAGGATCACTCCTATTATTATCTATCATATTCTCATAATATTCTTTCTTTTTTGCCCTGATAAGTTTAACTACTGCATTTCTTTCATTTCTGAAAAATTCCCAGTCCTGTTCTTTACCTGAGTTTATTGCTCTACTGTGAGCCTCATCCCTTCTATCTGCTGCCATTCCAATTACATCTGAATACCACATTTTCCCTTCCCATATTTTCAAAATTTTAAACTTTTTCTTAGGTGCTACAGTATCCAATACACTTACTATACTATTGACAAATTTCTCCGCCCTTATGCTTATATCTAGCCCTTGACCTTGCTCAGTTCTTTCTTCCATTATTCTAAGAAATTCATCTACATTAAATTTACTATAGTCCCTGCCTCTAAATTCTTTATATTTATTTCTATTTTCATTTATATTAAATTCTACTTTTAGCCATGTATGGTCCGTGATTTTGGGTTTCTCATTCACTTGTACTTTTATTTCTTTATTCGAAAAAATTAAATCTATCATTGTTCGACTAGGTTAGGTTAGGTGAAAGGGTGTGGTCATCTAGTGACCATTCACTCGGAGACCTGAGGTCCATTGTGATACCCTATTTTTAACCCTTGACCCGTCTTTACCACCTCGCGTTGAAACACTTCCAGTTCCGTGCGAAGCTCATTATATTGTCAATGCCCATCTCCGCTGCGTCTTCCAGTCCATCCAGAAATTCTTGTCCCATTGTCTGGAGGCGTCGGTTTTCTAGGGCTGGACACCAGCACATCAGATGCTCAATTGTTTCTTCTTCCTCGTTGCATTCTCTGCAGCTGCTGTCATCTGTGATTTTCCATTTCTGGAGGTTCACTCCGACCGCACAGTTTCCTGTGACGACTCCTGCTGCTATGCGAACCAGGTTCTTCTTGTGTTTCAATAGTTGCCTAGTCCTATTGTTATCTATCTTAGGCCAGAGATTTCGGGCTATCCCGCAATCATTCCGGTTTTGCCAAATCTCTCTGTGTTTCTTCAGTATAATTTCCTCTATGGCATCTTTTAGTGAACTGATCGGTGGTAGTGGGGAGTCCATTACCTCCGCGCCGTTCCCTCCCGCCCCCAGCTTTGCCAGTCTGTCCGCACCTATGTTCCCTACCACATTTTTGTGACCGGGAACCCAGCGCAGACCGACCCCGTCGCCGCGGAGCCAGGACAGCGCTTCTTGGCAACTCATCACTACCTTTGATCTCACTGTTTTTGATGCAATACTTCTGAGCGCAGCCTGACTGTCAGAGTAGATTGTGACATCCCTTAATGGTTTGCCACTCACCCAGATTAGCCTGGCTGCCTCCCTTATTGCACAGATTTCTGCCTGTATGGCGTGGCAACCGTTCTTTAGTCTGTATGACTTCTGGATGTTGAGCGCCTCAGAGTAGATTCCAATGCCTGCACCCGTTTTGGTTATGGAGGCATCGGTGTAGACTGATGTCTCGTGTTCGTTTATCACCGAGTTATCCTCCCATTCCTCCTTAGAGGGGATGCGTATGTTAACACACCCCTCGAAGTTATGCCTGGCAACTAAGTAGTCCGTTGGACTATTCAGGTTTAGTCCTTTGTTACTGTTCAGTTTTCCGATCTCCTCCAGTATTCTTGAATGTCCGTAGTTGATCGGCTTCCAGAAATTTGACTCCCTGAGCCTTACGGCTCCTTTTGCTGCTTGGCCTTTAACGTACAGCTCAAGTGGTTGTAGGTTCAAAATTGCCTCCAATGCAGCTTGTGCTGTATTATTCCTCACTCCTGTGATACCCAGGGCTGCAAGCCTTTGTACCTTGGTGAGGCTCTTTTTGTTTACCTCCTTGTTCATGGCTTCCCACCAGACTAATGCTCCGTATGTAATGATCGGTCTTATTACCGCAGTGTACATCCAATGTATGATTTGCGGCATCAGGCCCCATTACCTTCCAAACATTTTCCTACACGCATAGTAGGCAATCATTCCTTTCCTCATCCTTTCCTCCACGTTCCTTTTCCATGAGAGTTTGGAGTCTAGGATAATTCCGAGGTATTTAATTTCCTTTGAAAGTGTAAGTGCCTTCCCCTCCAGCTTTGGTGGTGTAAAATTGGGTATTTTATACTTTCTTGTGAATAGGATGAGCTCGGTCTTGCTCGGGTTTACCCCTAGACCATTCTCTCCTGCCCACTTTGATAGTTCTTTTAGCGCATATTCCATAATCTCACTGATTGTAGACAAGTATTTGCCTGTGATCAGTATGACTACGTCATCTGCATATGCTATCATTTTGATCCCTTTCTCTTTAAAGATTGTTAGGATCTTGTTTATCACGATCAACCACAATAGCGGTGATATCACTCATCCTTGCGGTGTGCCTCTTGTTGCCTTCTTGCTAGTGGAGCTGTTGCCTATTTCCGAGGTAATAACTCTGCTTTCCAGCATCCTTATCACCCAATCCGTGACCATGTGCTCTACACCTAATGTTTCTAAAGCCTCTTTTATAGATTCAGTTTTGACGTTGTTGAAAGCCCCCTCTATGTCAAGGAATGCAGCCAAAGTGTATTCCTTGTCTTTGAGGGATTTTTCAATTGTTCCGACAACCACGTGTAGTGCGCTTTCGACCGATTTGCCTCTTAGATAGGCATGTTGCATTTTGCACAGATTTTCTATGTTTGTGGTCTCTTTTATATGCATGTCTATCAGTCTCTCTTGTGTCTTCAGTAGAAACGATGATAAACTAATAGGCCTAAAATCTTTTGGCGTAGTGTGACTCGGTTTACCAGCCTTAGTTATGAACGCCACCCTTACCTCTCTCCATCTTCTCGGTATGTAGCCTAATGCAAGACATTCCACGAAGCATCCCAATAATGCTGTTCAGAGATTTTTGTAGCATAATGGGTAGTATCCCATCCGGGCCCGCAGATTTGTATGGGTCAAAGGAATGCACCGCCCATAATACTCTCTCCTCTGTGACGATCATTTTCGCCCTCGTTTCTCTCTCCGCAGGGGTCATCAAATCCCCCCGTCTGTGGAAATCATCCTTTCTTACATCATTGTAATCAATGTTCCCGCACCCAGGAAAGTGGGTGTTCATAAGAAGTTCCAGGGTCTCGTTGTTGGACTCAGTCCACGAGCCATCCGGTTTCATGATGTTACTTGGGATCGCTGGATCCTTTGATAACACCTTTCTGAACCTTGCGGCCTCGCTGGTATCCATAAGGGATTCGCTGAACTCCTTAAACGATTCCCACTTTGCTTCTCTTATCTTATACTTAAACTCATTAAAGCTGGTCTTATATATATCCCAGCTCTCTTTTGTCTTATCCCTTTTTGCATTGTTGTAGAGCTTCCTTGTTTCCGTCCTTAGTTGCCTAAGCTCGCCATTCCACCAGGGTTTGGTGGCTTTGCGTGAGCGGCTAACAAGGCAGGATTTTTTGAAAGCCTTTATTAGTGCAACTTCTAGTTCATTAACTAGAGCTTCTATTCCCTCGATAGATGGGTACTTTGACATTTGGAACTCTGGTCCCCCATTCCCGTACCCCTCCACGAGTTCGCTAAACATTTCCCAGTTCGTTCTTTTGGGGTTCCTAAAGGGCTTGCTAGTTGGGGCCGCGCGGTTTATTCTAAATAAAATTCTCCTATGATCCGAGATGGATCGTTTTAAGGAGACCCTCCAGTCCTCAACTATCAACCCCTCCTCGCCTGTGGTCAAGGTCAGATCTATCACCTTTTCCCTAACCTTGTTCACAAACGTCGGCATATTGCCTCTATTGCAAACAGTCAGGTTATTTGTAAGAATAAAATCCATTATTGACTCACCTCTCTCATTTATATCCTTGCTTCCCCATTGGATGTGGTGTCCATTGGCATCGCATCCTATCACCAGTTGTCTGCCCTGCTTCCTGGCTACCAATACCAGGTTTTGGACGGCCTCTGGTGGTGGTTCAGCCTCATCATATGGCATGTATGCAGAAGCCAGAAGAAGCTTCATGTTCCCCTGGCTCTCGCAGGTCGCCACGGTCAGGTCATTTGTGCTATATTGTGTTAGTAGTGTGAGTTTTAGGGATCTCTTTGCCACTATACACGCTCTTTTCTTACCTGCAGTCTGAGAATGTAGCAGGGTATACTCCTTGGTCCTTAGTCCTCGAACCCTGTCCTTTGCAAGCCAGGGCTCTTGGACCAGGGCCACATCCACATTCTTTTCAGTCATGAACAGCATCAAGTCCTCCGTGGCCGCCTCGCAGTGATTCAGATTAATCTGAACCACCTGAAGCCCTGGCCGTTGCGCTGCTCTTGTCATTTGGAAGCCTCGCTTTCAGCGTACCCAAGCCGAATTTGATGCTTCCTTTTGACTTCCTAAGAGTGTCCATAGACTCGTCATCAATCGTGAAGACGAAGTCCTTTCCTTTGCCATTTTGACTCTTGGCCGATGAGATAATCCTCCAGCTTTGAGTCTTCAGGCCTTTATTCTGTTTGCCCAAAATCTTCACCACGGTATCGTCTCCTTCCGGAACCGGAGGTGGGATCCATAGTGAGATTTTCTTCCTCAGCGGTAGTTGCGACATCTGGATGACCTCGAGTTGGGCCCCCTGCCAGAGCTCGCCGCAGCTGCCGATGACTTGCGTTAGAAAGTCGCGTGACTTTCTGTTGCTGCATCCAACAACTTTGACGCCCTTCTGCCAGCCGGCCCCGTCGAAGTCAACCTCCCCGCAACTATCTCCATCCAGCTCGGCTATGGCCAGCAGAACCCTCGTTTCCACCTCCATCCACCTTTCGGCCGTCATCCTGCCATCCGGATCAGAACGATCTATGATGGCAATCCGACAGTCCTCGGGCGAATCGAAGCTTATCGAGGGCTTGACCCTTTTTGCTTCGCTTTCCTCTCCGTCGCCCGATCGCACCCTCTTTACCGTTTTCCTTTCGGAAGGTGGCAAATTGGGTTTGTCCGGCTTTGGAGATTCCACCGTAGCGTTGGCCCTCTGTAGCTTTTTTGCCGGCTTAGTCCTTGCTACCTCTCTTTCTTCGGTGATTGTCTCCAGTTTTTGTTGCTGTTGTTTGGCTTCAAATTTGGAGACCTTTTTCTTGTTTAGTTTGATGAGGTCCCTGTCCCTGGTGGTCAGTTCCTCATCCTTCTTGTTATCCATCTTTTTTAGAAATGACAGGGCATTTCTGTAGGCTTTCCTAGCCTTTTGAGCTGCCGTCATCTCTTTCTTTTTGGATCTTGCTTCCTCCTGGCAAGCTATGTCGGCCTCTGAGTCAAGAAGATCCCTCTCGACGTCGGAGTCCATACAGTCAACACTGCCACCCTTAAGCGATTGCTCGTTATCGGTCGCCCTGTCGATCTGTACTTTCTCCAGCCGGGAAGAGATGCTCCTCGGACTCGCCCCGCCCGCAGGAGTAGCAATCTCCATTTTTCCACTTGATGCTTGTAGAGTGGTTCCGACAGCCAAGTGTTCCACCGTCGGCTCCGAATCGAGTAATATTGAGCCCCCCCCAGAATCCGATCGGAGCTCAGCCACTTCCAAGGAAGTGGAAGGATTCCCCATTTCTGGGTTACCTCCTGGGGTATATCTATTTATATCACTCTCTTCCATTGTGGTTTCGGGTTTTTTTTATTCCCTTGTCCGCGATCGCTTATTCCGCTCAGAGACAAGTCTCTGATTGTTATTCACGACTGTCCAGAGAGACCTCCCTGGACGTTCCACTATCCGCAACCTGTGGACGCGCCCGGTAGCATGGGAAAACTGCCCTTCACTTTTTAAAAGTGTCCCGGGATCGTTCGACTATCTTTTGTAACTCTCGTTGGACAATCAACGTATTGCCTCATTCCTAGGTTTTGCATTACCGTTAATAATTTCTTTGTGTAAAATGAATCTACCATTACATCTATATTAAAGTCCCCTATCACTATACAGTCATACTTTATTATTAAATCTTCAACCGTATCTTCCAAAAATCTCACGAAATCGCCATTTGACGCACTCGGCGAATGATACACTACTGCTATCATACCTTTATACAAATTCTCTCTTATTTCTACCACCACGCA